GAACCCCTTCATCCATGGGATACTTGCCCAAACCCCTCAGTGTTCGTTCATGGCCTGATACCAGCCTGCTGTTCCAGCTGTGGCCTAGCTTTCACTCGGAGTTTGCACTCAGGTCTCCTCTTCAATATTCCTGACCATACAGTCCCTTTTCAACTGGTCAGCATGTCTGGAGACTCTCCGGCCCCCTGTTCCCATCCTGCTGATGCTTATGTATGCAGTTAGCAAGTGTTTAGCTGTTCACTTTCTGATTAGTTATTTTATTTATTTATTTTTTGGCCGCTCTGCGCAGCATGTGGGATCTTAGGTCCTCGACCAGGGAACGAACCCGTGTCCCCTGCAGTGGAAGCATGAGGGTCTTAACCACTGGACCTCCAAGGAAATCCCTCTGATTAGTTATTCTTTTCTGTGGGCTCTAACACAATTTTATTCATATACATATTTTCATAACCAGGTTAATACATTGATTGAGAAGTCCTTATCACTGAAAAGATTATGGTGACTTCCACCTCATATGTAATTCAATATTAAAATAATACTAGTCAATTTGCAGTTTTTCCCAGGAGTGCTTAAGGTATTTTTTTCTTTTAAAATACCAAATATAAAATTCTTTCAAAGCATTTTCTTCTCTTTTCTTTGGTACTCCTGTTTTGCTGCTGCCCTAATCTGTTAATGAGACAGACTTTGGCATCAGGCTGCCAGGACTCAAATACCAGCTCTGCCACTTATTGGCTCTGTGACCTTGGACGACTTACTGAACCTCCCTTTGCCTCAGTTATTTCATCTTTAAAATGGGGATATAATAGCATCTGCTCATCGGATTGTTTCTGAGTAGTTAGTGAGTGATGTGTGTTTGGTATCTGGTATTAATATAGATTGTATAGAGATTTACAATCTCTATAATGCCTCTTCCCCCCTACTATTGAAGTCTCCCTGCATGGACTCTCTACCTAATTTATTACTGCAATGGGTAATCAGTAGGCAAGTAAATGTGACTTCATTGATTCTCTTGCAGACCTCTCTAAGTTTCCTGGCATATCTGGAGAAACAAGAGAAAATAGATGAAGACAATCTGACATTACTGGAGGATCTCTGCAAAAAAATTGTACCTAATCTTATGAGAAAGATAGACAAATATAAAAGAGAGAAAGGTAACTAGCTTATGCTTGCTTGCTTGCTCGAATCAGACCATGGGAGTTCTTAAACCAATTGGCCATGTATGATGTTTACTTATCACTCTGATAATATTCTTTTGAAATCTCCCCATTTGTTCATTCAGCACATGTTTATTGAATGCATACTTTGTACTAGGCACAGTTTTAGAAGTTGGAGCTACAGCAAGGTATAGGGCAAAGCTTCTACCTTCTTGGAGCTTATATTCTAATGAGGGAAAGTGGTTTTAGACAAATGTCTTCTTCTGATTCTTACGTGGAAGCGATCGTAAAAGAAATTGTTTTGAATGAAATAACATCAAAAAGAAGGAGGCAGGATGGCACAGGAATTAAGAGTGGGATCCATGGAGTCAGATTGCCAGCACTCCACTTATTAATGGTGCAGTGGCCCTTTTCTCAGCTGTTCTGTGTCTCACTTTTCCCATCTTTAAAGTGGGGCTAATCATAGTACCTACTTCATAATGTTTTTGAGGATTGAATGCGGTAATTCCTATAAAATGCATGTCTGGTACAGAGTAAGCATTCAATACACATTGCTATGAATACGTTTGTTAGAGAGGAAAGTCATGAAAACTTTCATATTCTCGTAAAGTACTATCAGCGAAGAATTTTCTTTTTCTTTCTCTTTTGTTTTTAATCGGGCTTGTAAAGGTAGTATTGCTGTGGTACTACGTAAAAGTAGCTGCATAGGGCAGAAATCAAACTTGGCTGCCTTACCATGTGTCAATATGCTGAATATTTGTGGTTTATTGAGTCCATTTCTCCACTATTAAACAAAAGCTAAAAGTAAACACTCAGGATTGTATTCATGAAGCTTGTATGCCACACCCATATTTTAGTTCAGAGACTTAGCATAGTGTGCAAATTTATCTGGTTGAAAACAAAACTAGGCAAAAGGAAACTTCTCTCTAAGAATTCTATTAACACAAAATGAGTCGAGGGACAAAATGTACTGTTGTTAATTTGATAAAATCTCAAACAATAACCAGATCAATGGATAATTTAATGTATACTTTAAGTAAAAATTATGAAAAATAAAAACAGCTCTTCTTACCATCAAGTCATCAAGTGAGAAATAAAAACAGGGAGTTGATATTGAAAGTATATTTGAAATCCTCACTTGAACTTTGAATGCTGAGATTTTTTTTTTCTGATCACATCATCGTTTTTCTGTAACGCAGTACTACACACAGAATAAACATAGGGCAGGTGGCCAGATTATTTTGACTATTTGGACTCTGGAGAAGGCTCTCTAGTTTCTATGCAGTAAATGTTTACATTTGCCTCAGTGAGTCTTGAGGACTGAGATTTATTATCAGAAGAATTCTTTTTTTTTTGATTTACAATCTTGTATTAGTTTCAGGTGTACAACAAAGTGATTCAGTTACACACAGACGCACATTCTTTTCAGATTCTTTTCAATTATAGGTTATTACAAGATATTGAATATAGTTCCCTGTCAGAAGAATTCTAATTTTGATTTTTCTTTCTATAATCTACATGCTGTATGATCATTTTTTGGATGTTGAAAGAAAAAACTTGTTTTCCTTTACTAATACTCACAGCAACATTCTGGAACACTTCTGAACCCAGGGGTGTGAGTTTTTCCACACCAAGCAATTCTCCAACTCTGCAGACACCAACTGGGTGTCCTGTGTTTTAATTCAGTTCTGACACTCATCAGTTATCGCAGATCGCACAGGTTAGGGGTTCAGTCCGCCAAGACTCCCCCCACCACTTCAGCCACCAATCTCAGGTAGTGGGTCCCCAGATTACCCACAGCTTCTGTTCAACTTAGTTACAAACCAGGGGTTCCCATGACCCCTTCCTCAGGTTTGATAATTCGCTAGAACTGTTCACAGAACTTAGGAAAATAGTTTACTTACTAGGTTACTGATTTATTACAAAAGTATACAACTCAGGAACAGCCAAGTGGAAGAGATGCATAGGGCAAGACATGGGGGAAGGAGCATGGAAGTTCCATGCCCCCTCCAGGTGGATCACCCTCCCAACACCTCCACTTGTTCACCAACCCAGAAGCTTTCTGAACCCCCTCAGTTAGGGTTTTTTTGGGGGTTTTTTTTGGCCACCCTGCCTGGCAGCGGGATCCCAATTCCCTGACCAGGAACGGAACCCGTGCCCCCGCTGCAGTGGAAGCGTAGAATCTTAACCTCTGGACCGCCAGGGAAGTCCCTCAGTTAGGGTTTTTTTTGTTTGTTTGTTTTGGTTTTTGCTGCACGCGGGCCTCTCACCGCTGCGGCCCCTCCCGCTGCGGAGCACAGGCTCCGGACGCGCAGGCTCAGCGACCATGGCTCACGGGCCCAGCCGCTCCGCGGCACGTGGGATCCTCCCGGGCCGGGTCACGAACCCGCGTCCCCTGCATCGGCAGGCGGACTCCCACCCACTGCGCCACCAGGGAAGCCCCTAAGTTAGGGTTTTTAATGGAGGCTTTGTTACGTAGGCATGATTGATTAAATCATTGGCCATTGTAATTAATTCAACCTCTAGCCCCTGTCCCCTTTCCAGAGTTCTGGGAGTAAAGCTGAAAGTTCCAACCCTCTGATCATTTGATTGGGTCCCCTGGCAACCATCCCCCATCCTGAGGCTATCAGGATGTCCCTAACCACCAGTCATGTCATTAGCATACAAAAAGACACTTAATCACTTAAGAGAGTGTAGGGTTTTAGGAACTGTGTGCCCGGAAAAGGGGCAGAGACCACATGGATATTTATTATTATATCATAGGTCTCAGTATTTTAATATTGACTTCCTACAGTCCTCTGAGAGTTTGGGCATAATTCTGCCATTTAGGATGAAGGACTAAAGGACTGAAAAGATAGTAGGTATGCAGATTTTAGGCTTCTGTAAGTGAGGTGAGTGGAAAGACTAAGCCCACTGTATCTGATTAGGACACAAGCTCTGTTTAAGGACCACCTGGATATCTTTCTGAGTTTTCCTGAGCCTTGGTGTTTGTTTTAATATTTTAAATTCATTATTAAAAATAATGTATAATAATTATAATAAAATGAAATAGAAATTCAAATAATGACAACAGTACAGAGTGTAGGAGGTAAAGTCTTTCTCTTCTTTTTCTTCCACTGCTGGTCCATTCCCCAGAGATAACCCCTGTTTGGAGTATATTTTTGTAGCTTTTCTTCTATATAGAGATAAGTGCATGTGTGTATGCATGTATGGATAGATACCTATAATACATATTTAACTAAGATCATGCTAATCATATTCCATAACTTGCTTTTTTCCCACCTAATATATCTGGCATTTTCCCATGTATATAACACAGATACAGCTTATTTTTATTAATGGTTCCATAGAGACATATTTTATGTATATAACATATGTATTTAATCAACACTTTTAAATGGTTTTTCTTTTCCTTTCCTTCTCTTCCTACCTTCTTTTGCTTCTTTCTTTTGTTTTCCTTTTGCTGTTACAGTCTGAGTTCTGGTTTTATTTCTTGAGGTAATGCTTTTGTAATCTTTATTTGGCAGTTACCTGACACACTGAGCACCGTAATTTCTGAAATGGTATTTAGTAAAGTATATAGTAATTTTAAGGAACTAATTAACTTACAAAAATGATAGAAATAGTAAGGAACGAAATATCATAATATAAGGAATGAAAATATAATGATAAAAGTAATTTATAAATTCGCATTTTTCTCGTATATACATGTAGGCCTCTTTAAGCAAATGCCACTACAAATCTACAGGTCCCTGTAACATAATTTCTTATGATGATGGGTTACTTCGGATTGCCACTAGTCAGAAGGTGATTTTTCTTTGTTTTTCTATCTGATTCTATTCCCAGCCTCCCAGGTAGGGGCACTTCCTGTAGCCAAGGAAACTGAGTCATTGCATCAAGGAGAGAAAGAACTATTTTCCCACTCGGACATTAACCAATTGCTTGGAGCCTTGCCGGTAGGTTCATTGGTGTGTTGGTAAATGTGTAACCACCAGCTTCACTGCAAATGAGAGAGAGAGAGAGGAGAGAGAGAGAGAGAGAGAGAGAGAGGAGAGAGAAAATGATTTGTAGCATTTGGTGTAAATACTCCTACCATGACTGATTTCAAGTTACCAACTTGATATTAACTGTATTGCAGAATTTCTGAAAATCTAATAATTGGCTCTCACTAGCTGGTTAGAGCTGACTCCAGTACACCACTGGGTTGCTTTGAAATGGTTCTGTTCTTATCTGTGGGATTCGATCACGGCCGGCTTCATGGGCATACAGCCTGTTCAATCGCACAGGGCCCATACTTTTTGAATGCTCAGCTGTCATTGTTTTGAAATTCTTGATAATGTGTGAACAAGGGTCCTCACAGTTTTACTTTGCACTGGGTCCCAGAGGACAAGAACTGGGTTCCTTTAGTACCCAGCAAAGGTAGGGTAGGTAAAGGGGGAAACATTGGGAGAATTTGCAATCCATTCTTCACAACATGATCATGGTTCTTGGAAGACACATGACATTCTTCCCTGGGATTTATGTTTATTCCCATCTTGCTTGGTGGCAGTTCTATTTTGCTGACATCTGTCAGCATCAATGAAGTTAGGTTGTCCCTGGAATTTTTTGTTTTTGGTTTTGTTTTCTAATTGTGGTAAAATACACATAACATAAAATTTACCATCTTAACCATACAAAAAAATTTTTTAAAGTTGTTGTAAAATACAAATAACATAAAATGTACCATGTTAGCCATTTTTAAGTGTACAGTTTAGTATTGTTAAGTACAGTCACATTGTTGTGTAAACAATTTCCAGAGCTCATTTCATCTTGAAAACTGAAACTATATCCGTTAAACACTAACTCCCCATTCCCCTTCCCACCAGCCTCTGGCAAACACCATTCTACTTCCTGTCTCTATGAATTTGACTATTCTGGGTACCTCATATAAGTGGAAGCATACAGTATTTGTCTTTTTGTGACTGGCTTATTTCACTTAGCATAATGTCCTCAAGGCTCATCCATGTCAGAATTTTCTTCATTTTTAAGGCTCAGTAATATTCCATTGTGTGTATGTACCACATCTTATTTATCCATTCATCCATGGATGGACACTTGAATAACTTCTCCCTTTTCCCTATTGTGAATAATACTGCTTATGAACATGGGTGTACAAATATCTCTTTGAGACGCTGCTTTCAATTCTTTTGGGGTACCCAGAAGTGGAATTGCTGGATCATATATCATTCTATATTTCTTTTCTTTTTTCTTTTTCTTTTTTTTTGGCAGTGCCTCAGAGCTTGAGGGATCTTAGTTCCCCGACCAGGGTTTCAACCTGGGCCTGGGCAGTGAAAATGCTGAGTCCTAACCACTGGACTGCCAGGGAATTCCCTATATTTCATTTTTTGAGAAACCACCATACTGTTTTCCATAGCAGCTGCATCATTTTGCATTTTCACAAACAAGGCACAAGGGTTCTCCGCACCCTTGCTAACACTTGTTATTTTCTTGGTTTTTGATAGTAGCCAACCTAATGGGTGTGAGGTGGTATTTCATTGTAGTTTTGACTTGCATTTCCCTAATGATTAGTGATGTTGATCTTTTCATGTGCTTGTTGGCTATTTGTATATCTTCTTTGGAGAAATGTTTATTCAAGTCCTTTGTCCATATTTTAATTGGGTTGTTTTGGAAGTTTTTTTATTTTTATTTATTTTTTTAAACATCTTATTGGAGTATAATTGCTTTACAGTGATGTGCTAGTTTCTGCTATACAACAGAGTGAATCAGCTATATGTATACATATATCTCCATATACCCTCCCTCTTGCGTCTCCCTCCCACCCTGGAAGTTTTATTTTTTAATTCTTAAAAAATTCTTTCATAGCTTCTTTACTATTTTCATGGTGTCATATATTTACAGTTATAATTATTATTTTAAAATTTGGAAGTATGTTTAATCTTATAGAAAAGTTGAAAAAAAATGTGAATAATACAAAATTTGTTTGCCCAGATTCACCTACCTGTTGTGACTTTTGTCCCATTTGCTTTATCATTTGTGTGCTCTCTCTTTATTTGTATACGCACACACATAATTTTTTCTGAACTTTTTAAGAGTAAGTTGCATACATCATGGCTCTTTACCCCTAAATTCTTCAGTGTATATTTCATAATAATAAGGATATTGTTTTACAGATTATAGTACAGTTAAATTAAATTATATAAAAGTTTCACCAAGTCAGTGGTACATATTTCAATTTTATCTATTAACCCAATAATAACTCTTACAGGTTTTATAGCTTTTTTCCCTCCAGTACATAATTCAGTCTAGGATCATATATTGCATTTAGGTGTCATGTCTCTTTAGTCTCCTTAAATCTTTTCATCTCCACAACTTTCTTCTTCTTTTATGACATGGACACTTTTGAAGAATATAGTCACCACCAACAACAACTTTTATTTAAAAAGTAGAATTTTCCTCTTTGTGTGTGTGCATGTGTGTGTGTGTGTGTGTGTGTGTGTGTGTGTGTGTGTGAGTGGTGTTACCTCATGATTAGATTCAAGCTGTATATTCTGGCCAGAATATTACATCAATGATACCATATCTTTCTCAGGGCATCCCATCTGCAGGCATGTGGTGTTCATTGGCTCCCTATTCATGATTTAAATTTTGATTATTTGGTCCAGATGTTGTCTGATTTCTTCACTATATAGTTAATTTTATGAAGTTACTATTTTTTCCCTTGAAATGAATTAAAATGTCACCTTAGATTGAGCATCCATTGATGATTCTTGCATGATTGAAAAGCAATGATTTTCAAACTCCAGTATTCTCTCCACATTTATGTTACCATTCAGCATTTTACTGTAAGCAGGAGTCCTCTTTTCTCCCTCAAAAATTGTTTTGCCTACTCAGCTTAATTCCGTCCCTTGCCCACATTTTTACCTGGTTTTGTGCTCAGAGACTGATTTGCAAGTGGAAAACACACACGCGCGCGCGCACACGCACACGTGCACGCACGCACACACACACAGGAGTTTCCCCTTTGCCTCCTAGAACCTGAGTAGTTTCTAAGGCGTGTGGCTCAGGCTTAACCTCTGAAGTGCTGCTGTTTTGTTGCTGTTGGGTGATTCTGGTCATGGCCAGATGAAGATGGAGAGTAGCAGTGCTGGTGCTGGGAGTGCAGGAGGCTTTGGAGGGCAGCACCTCACGTTACACACATGCTTATAGACTCTCAGGGTTGAAAGGTGTCTTAAAAGTTATCTAGGCCACGAGTCTCTCTCCATGAAGTGACAGATAAACTAAAACTTAGTAAATTATCTCATGTTTCATATGTACCTGGAAGATTTTCTTATATAAAAGAGTACTGCCAACAATTGTGTTTAATGAGAAGAAACTATTGACAAAAAAAAAAAATCAATAAACAGTCTACAACAGGAATAGAAAAGGGTTTTATTTGATCCAAACTGAGGACTATAGCCTGGAAGACAGTTTCTCAGATAACTCTGAGGAACTGTTCCAGAGAAACATGGTTTTCAGCAGTTTTATGTCTTGTCAGAGCAAAGAACATCAAAAAAGTTGGGGAAACCTTCTTTCAAGGTTTCAAAAACAAAAACAAAAAGAGATCAGCATGTACACAGCAAGTCGGTATGGCCTTGGCACCTAAGTTGGTATGGTCTTATCATCAAAGGAGGACCAGCATTGGTGTCCCAGGAAGGGAGGCATTTAATCTTTATAACTATGGACGTTTTTTACTTCTGGTCAGTGCACCCTTTTCTTTAATAATTAAAGCAGATGTACAGTGTATGCTTGATAGGCCACATTAGCATAAAATTCAAGTTAACTCATGTATAAGCCAGGATGACTTCCCTGTTCCTCAATATGTGAAAATTTCTTTTATCAAAACTGTATTTCACTCCAATAAAGAAGTTAAAAAAAAGAAGATCCACCCTCTTAGCAAGTGTCAAGTATACAATACACTACGTTAACTGCAGTCACCATGTTGTACATTAGATCCGCAGAACTTATTCATCCCGTATACCTAAGCTTTGTACGCTTTGACCAGTATCTCCCCACTTTTTCACCTGCACCCCTCCAGCCCACCAAACCTCTGACAGCCCCATTCTACCCTGTGAGTTCGACTAGTTTAGATTCCACATGTAAGTGAGATCATACATTTTTTTCTTTCTGTGTCTGGATTATTTCACTTGGCCTAACGTCTGCCAGGTTCATCCATGTTTTTGCAAATGGCAGGATTTCCTTCTTTCTTGGGGCTGAATGAGATTCCTTTGTACAAATATATACTCCATTTTTTTTGTCCATTCATCTGTCGATGGACAGTTAGGTTGTAAAACGAAACCAAACAAAAAGAAACTGCATTTCAAGCAGCATCCTCTAATTTGTTTAAAAACCAAATCAATATTTCTTAGTGTGTCCTAGCCTTTTCTTAAAGACATGCATGCCCTCTAACGAGGAGACATAACAACAGCTGCTTTTTAAGGCCTTACTGGACCCTTCTGGAAAACACTGGAAAGAAGACCAAGTGTGGCCAGGCAATGGATCATTCATTCATTCCTCTCTGACACAGCTACTTGGGAGGTATCAACAGGGGATGCAACATTCTCAGACAAAGAGAGCCAGACAGACCCTAAAGTTTATTCCCAGTCCTTTTTCTGGCTGGTTTTATCAGCACAAGGGAAGAGACAAACCAAAGAAACCTGGGGCCTGGAGATGCCTGGGCTGAGCCCACTGCTGTATCTGTGATGCCCTTAATCCCAGAAAATTCAAAACCAACTGTGCAAACCCAGAAAACAGCCTGCCTGGCCCTTGGATGCTGCTGAGGAGGACTCTAGGGTGCAGAAGAAAGGGAAATGTGTCTTGCAAAAAGAAAGGCAGGAAGTCTTCTGGAAAGTGAAACTAAACTTCTTTGCCTTTGTTCCCTCAGAGCCAGGAACAGCAGCACTTCAGAGATTAAGGCTGAGCCACACCCCTTAGAAACGACTTCTGTTTCTCACAGGCAGCTTGGGAGTGAGGCAGTACAGCTCCGGTCTGGCTCGCCCTCCTGCAGCCAGAAGCCTGGTGGGCTCCACCAGGGAGGCGCCCCCAGTGACTTGGGGGTGACTTGCCTGTCACGTCAAACAGATGTCCTGGTACTTCCCACCACACAGCCAGTGGCAGAGTCAGTCCTTCCCCAAAACGTCGTGGTCATGTCCCCTTTGGGGCTTTCAGCGGCAGGCTAAGGGCTGGGGGTGGTGTGAGTGGAGGGGATGGGGCGTGGCTGCAGAAAACACAAAGGCCCTAAACTGCGCCTCAATTTTGTATTTAATTTTATAAAACTAAAAGGAGAAACTCCTGAGTGCACTCAGAGACCCTGCCTTGTTTCTCCTCCCCCATCGATCACCATCTTCATTAGTCTTTCGATCCTATCCTATTGAAAAACCCCACCTGTATCTCTCCTTTATTATAAAAGAGGGAGCACACTAAATACCAATCTTCACATTACTTCTTTCATGTCACAGTATCTCCTGGGGAGATGGTCTTCCGCCTTCTACCACACTGTGCGATGAACCGTCGTTCTTTCGACCACTCCCTGTTGGTCAACATTAGGGTTATTTCCAGTCTTCAGTTATTCCAAATAATGCTGCAATGAATAGATTATCTTTGTGTATGTGTCATATACTTCTGCCGCTGTGTCTTTGTGAACCTTCCTGTTTGGAAGGACGAAGTTGATTCTTTTCTTGTTACCTGCTAGTGACCTTTTCTATGGCTGGGCATCAGGTATTTTTTCTTCTCTGAATCAAGCCTAGATTTTCAGCCCTTACCCTAACTGTGTGAATTTCCTGCAATTCATGAATTTCCTCTTGTCTCAGCAGGAGGTGTCCTGGCAAGACGAGCATGCACAGAGTAATGGTAGGTGTTTCTAATACACTTTTTAATTTTTTTTTTTTTGCCACGCTGAGCGGCTTGCAGGATCTTAGCTCCCCGACCAGGGATTGAATCTGGGTTCCCCCGCAGTGAAAGTGCTGAGTCTTAACCACTGGACGGCCAGGGAATTCCCTCTAATACACTTTTTATAACTTGGATCAGTACGCCAGTAATAGATATATTTGATACACACCAAGCAATTTGGGGTGACTTGGGAGAAGGCTTACACGTTAGTGGAGAATTCAGTTCTTGTTCTAATTCAGGGCAAGCCACTGAATGCGTGGATTATACCAGGCTTTTCCATGGGGGCGGATGGCGAGGGCTGGGTGGTTTCTACTTGGAAAGCCTAGCCTGCCAGCATCTGGGGAATGCAGAGCTGGTCTCCCTCCACCCTTCAGAATGAGGTCTCCCTCTGTGGGGAGGGACGGAAGCCCTCTTCTGCTGGCAGGCAGAAGCCCTCAGGCCAGCAGCTGCCGTGGCAGGAGCAGAATGTAGAGTGTAGAATAGTATGGCTCCAGATGCTGCTTGTATTTTTCAGAGGGAAAGA